TCTTTATTGACTCCCTCCATAGAACACTGCTCCCCCAAGAGTCACACCTCTCTATAGCAGCAATCCTCAACGTTTTTGAAACCAGAAACTGCTTAAATGGAAGACAAGTTTTTCCACAGACCAAGGGTGGGATAAGAGTAGGGCTCATGCCCCTATGAGAATCTAATGCTGCTGTTAATCTGACAAAAGGTGGGGTTCAGGCAGTAATGCAAGAGATGGGGAGTGACTATAAATACAGACAAAAGTATGCTCACTCGCCCACCACTCACCTACTGCGGTGTGGCCTGGCTCTTAACAGGGGAAGGACTCATACTGGTGCATGGCCCTGGGGTTGGGAACCTGTGCGCTAAATGATTAGCCCATTAACACTGTGACTGTGTATTCACATTAGTACATTTGCCCACACTCACAGAACACCAGCTAATAAGAAATATAGTTTGATCATCTTAATCCGAAAATCGGAAACTTCTTGAGTCCTGACACAGCAGTATTAGTGGAAAGTTTCACACCTGACCTCATGTGATGAGTTGCAGTCAAAATGCTGCAATATAAAAATATGGTATAAATTAGAGAGCAGCAGGTGGCAAGGTGGTTAAGGGCACTGGACTCTCACAATGGCCAGCCGTGGTTCAAGTCCCAGACCTGGTAGCTTGCTTTCTTGCTCTTTCTCCCTTTCTCTTGCTCTGTCCCTCTCTGGTCAATTAAAATAAATAAATAAAGTTAAATAAAATAATTCTTTAAAAAAAATATGGTCGGGAACCAGCAGTTAGCGTAATGGCTATGTCGCTGGACTCCCACGTAGTCAACCGCGGTTCATGTCCCGGACCCCGTGGCCTAAAACTCACGCCAGGCGCGTGTGTGTGCGTGCCCAAGATCCCAAGAGGAGAATGGAGAAGGTATTGCGGCGTGACCATCCCCCCTGGGGGGTGATTTCTCGCTTTCTGTCTCTTTGTCTCTCTCTGTCTGTCTGGTGAGCGCACGCGCCCTATAGGAAAAAAAACTCAAAAAAAAAAAATATATATATATATGGTATAAAGTACCTTTAGGTTATGTGTGTAAGTGTATATGAACTCCATGTTTAGACTTTGGTCCCATCCCCAGGATATCTCATTATCTATGTGTGTATGTTCCAAAATCCAGAAAAATCCAAAATCTGAAACACTTGTGATCCCAAGCATTTTGGATAAGGGATACTCAACCCACAATTATTTTCTTACTCTTCTTCTTTCTCTTCTCTAAAAATCATCAGCACTGGGGCTGGCAAGTAGTATGGTGGTTAAGGACACTGGACCCCATATGGCTGACCGCAGTTAGAGTCCCGGACCTGGCAACTTGCTTTCTCTTTCTCTCTCTCTCGCTCTCTCTCACTCTCTTTTTGTCCCTCTCTGGTCAAATTTAAATAAATAAATAAATAAATACAGTTAAATAAAATAATTCTTTAAAAATAATTGGGGCAGGCAAGTGGCATGTTGATTAAGGCACTGGACTCCTACATGGCTGACCATGATTCGAGTCTTGGACCTGGCGGCTTGCTTTCTCACTTTCCCTCCCTCTCTGTATCTCTCTGGTCAAATTTTTTTTAAAAAGAAAGAAAAAGACAAAACAGTGGGACCAGCAGATGGTGTAATGGCTACATCGCTGGACTCCTATGTAGTCAACTATGGTTCGGAGTCCCGGACCCAATGGCTTAAACTCGCACCGGGTGCGTGTGCATGTGTGCGTGTCCAATCACCCGAGGGGTGATTTCTTGCTTTCTGTCTCTCTGACTCTGTCTTTCTGCGAGTGCATGTGCCCTATAGCAAAAAACTCTAAAAAATAATAATAATTTTTAAAAATCCTCAGCACTTTCTCCATCACTGTCCCCTACCTCTTACACAAGCACACACACACATTCTCAGCCTAGTTCTCCTCCCTTTGGCTCCAGTTCCATTGACTTTGTCTTCTAGTTTTGCTCTTCTCACTCAGATTCCTTTCCCTCCTCTAGAACTTCAACATCTATAAAAGGATCTTCACTGACATGGTGAGCTCTCCTGGGACCAACAGTGCTGAGGCCTATCACAGCTGGGCTGATCTTCGGGATGTCCTCTTCAACCTGGTGAGGGGGTTGGGTCAACAACAGAGTGAAAGGGCTGCTTCGCTTGTTTCTGTCCTGGTCTCTTCTCTATACACATTAACCTTAACCGTAGCTATATTTGACCTCCCTGTCCAGGTGAGTACTCTGTGACCCTAGCACTCCTTTGACCTTGAGCTGGGCTCTGCTCTTTCTTTCTATCTAGTGTGAAAACCTGGTGAAGTCCAGTGAGGCAAACTCTCCAGCCCACGAGGAGTTTGAGACAATGCTGCTGATTGCCCACTACTATGCTACTCGCTCTGCAGCCCAGAGTATCAAACAGCTGGTGAGATGGAGAAGGGAGTGGAGGAGCATTGCTTAAGAAGGATGAGTGTTCAAATACCTGAAGTTGAATGAACTCAAGGTCTTGATTCTCAAGCTTGGGCTCTGAATCTCCCCACTTTCTCTTTTGTCAAGTAAATCTTTAACCCTGGTTGACGTGGTTTTCTTCCTATACTGCTTTGACCTCCTTAGGGCTCTGTGACCACACAACTGCAGCCTCACTGTTTAAATATTTGAATCCCCTTTATTTTTTAACATGCATACACACATACATTTATTTATTTATTTGTTGTGATTTTCAAGCCCCCGGATCCAGGACTTGAACCATAGTCAGCCACGTGTGAACCAGCATACCTCCTGCTAGTCCTGAACCCCATTTCTTTATTCATATCCTATATGTTGCTGGACTCCCATGTAGATGACTGCGGTCCAAGTCCTGGACCTGGTAGCTTAAACTCACACCGGGCACATGTGCATGCCTGCCCAAGATCTTGAGAGGAGATTGGAAGAGAAGGGATTGTGGTGTGGCCATCCCCCCTGGGAGTGAATTCTCACTTTGTCTCTGTCTTTCTGGTGAGCGCACGCACCTTGTAGCAAAAACCTCTTGGGAAAAAACAGTGTGTTGGTGTGAGGTGTGTGCACATGTTGTATGCATGGTATTTTTTCTAGACAGGATCAGTGTCATGCTTCTTTCACCCCGCCTCCTGAGTAGCTGGGATCATAGGTGCATGCCAAACTTGACTTTTTACAGTGGGCCAGGGATCAAACCCAAGCTTTCCATGTGACCTTGGCCAGCCCAGCAGCAGCATCCTTATAGCAGCTGGGCCCAGTGAAGTTCAACACTGATTGTCAGCTTCCTAGCTCTGTGGTAAAGCGTCACTTGTCTGGTAACTCAGTCACCACAGTACCCTGATCATAACTTTGACTTTAACTCTCAGGAAACCGTGGCTGCCAGGCTTTCTGTTTCACTCCTACGTCACACCCAGCTGCTACCTGCAGACAAAGCCTTCTATGAAGCAGGCATTTCTGCCAAGGTGAGCTGGACAAGAGAAAGGGTGGGCCCAAAAAGGTAAGGAACTCAAGCTGGAATATAGAAAATCTTCTGCTTAGGTAGGAGGCTGAGTGTGGGGCTGATGTTAGGGAGCACACAAAGTTCTTTATCTTTCTGGATTTTTCTCCCTGAATCCTATTGAAGTAGCATCCAGGCCCAGCTTGCTCATTCCTATTTGCATCTTTTCTCTGCTGCAGGCAGTTGGTTGGGAGGACATGGCATTCATCTTCCTCAACCGCTTTTTGGATCTGACTGATGTAAGTAGAGAAGTTGAGCCGAGAGGCTGGGAGGTTTGTGCCTGTCGCTAGCTGTCTGTCTCACGGTTGCCCACTCTACGGCAGGCAATAGAAGAAGGGACTCTGGACGCCCTTGACCACTCTGATTTTCAGGATACAGACATTCCCTTTGAGGTGCCACTCCCAGCCAAGCAGCATGTCCCGGTAAGGGCACAGACTTGGCAACCCAGATGGCCTCACCATGTGTGTGCATTGAGAAGGGAGGGTATCTCTATGTGGTGGTATCTTTGAAAGGACCTCAGTGAAAGTATATGCAGAGTAGGAAGAAGACTCAATTATGGCTGATAGCTGGTATACAAGAAAAGAGCTTAGCCGAGCTCCTTACCCACCACGCCCCACTTGCCCTGCCTGCCCTGTCCTGTGTGAAACCCCTGCTCCTTCTGTCCTTCCCAGGAGGCCCAGAGAGAAGAGGTTCGGGACTGGGTGCTCACAGTCTCGATGGACCAGCGGCTAGAGCAGGTCCTGCCGCGGGATGAGCGTGGCGCCTATGAGGCATCCCTGGTGGCAGCAAGCACTGGAGTTCGGGCACTGCCCTGCCTCATTACAGGTATAGAACCCTGCAGCACCCCATATCCTGTGGTGTGCAGAAAGGAGGGAATACAGCAGGATCACTGAACGTTATTTTACTGTTACTCAGTAAAGGGTGCAAAAGGCAGGGCCAGCCTACATTCTACCCCTGGGTTGCCCTTCATTTTTGCTCCTCAGTCTCTCTCAAACCCCAGTTCATCTTTTCTTCCTCTGCAGGATACCCCATTCTGAGGAACAAAATTGAATTTAAGCGACCAGGGAAGGCTGCTAACAAGGACAACTGGAATAAGTTCCTCATGGCTATCAAGGTTAGAAAGGGAGACTTGGTGGATGAGGGCAGGGAGAGTAGCACTGGGAAAACTGCCCACTAGCGGAGGTGGATGGGGCACTGTCAAGGCAGGCCAGACCCTGAGCCTCTCCCAGGACACTGAGATGGAGCTGGTTTTCTTGGCATCTAGAACGATTTCTCAGCACTAATCGTTCCTCTCATGTTCTTTCATCTGCTGCAGACCACCCACAGCCCCGCGTGCCAGGACGTGCTGAAGTTCATCAGTCAGTGGTGTGGGGGGCTCCCCAGCACCAGCTTCTCCTTTCAGTAACTGGGGGAGCTGAGGAAGAGTTAGGGCCTCTCAGTAAAGTTTTGTAAGTAACTGAGAACACTGTATTCTTATATCAGTCACCTCAACTCCAGCATAGTGCCCTTTCCCCCCGAAAGTAATCATCATCAAGCAGAAGAAAAGTTCCTTTATTACATTTCTTTATATCATCCTGGGTCAGGCTCCTTGCTTAGTGAAAAACCCTGTAGACTACACCTGGAAACCGCACCTGCTTGAGAGAAAGAACCAACCCAGTCAAGGGGAAGTGGCCTCACATAGCACTAGCTCCAATTCTAGAGCACTTGCCGCCCCCCACTCTTGCCCCTGCCACCACCCTCCTGACCCCAGTACCTGGTCTAAACCCAACTTTTCTGTGAACCCTGGATTTCTTGATTTTGATTCAGTAGCTGCTCATTTTCCTGCCTTTTACATTTAGGAGGTTCAAGCTCTATCAGTTCTTCTAGCTATAGAAGAAAGAGGAGTTAGTCCCCTGGCTTCGAAGGACAAAGCCCTTCTGTGTTGACTGAACCCTTCCTGTTCATCTCCCTTACCTGCCCCTGCAGCCCTTCCTTCCTACAGGGCCCAACTCCACGTAGAGTGAGTGCAGCCACACAGCAGTAAGCAGAGAGAGCAGCCTCTGCAGCAGACATGAGCAGAGAGGGGATCCAGAGAGCCAAGGCTGTATCCTAGAAAGAAAAAGGAAGCATGAGGACTAAGGGTGATGGGGCGGAGCAGCACATAGTGGAACTTGAAAGGGCAGGACCAAGGCTTTATGGACTACAAGAAGAAAATGCACTCACATAGATTCTTGTGGGATCAAAGGAGCAGTCCGTGTGTCCAGGTCCCTGGTCTAGCGGTATGAAAGGATCCAGCAGTCCTGGATGGCAGTCGGCGATAAGACGGCGCCCACCATTGGCCACAGTGAGTGACACAGCAAGAAGGAGGCCCAAGGAGCAGGCAGTGGACAGGAACAGGTTGGCCAGAGCTAGTGCTAGCAGGGCCCAGTGCTGGCAGAGACAGATCAGGGTGAGCAGCCTGGGCCTGGCTAACTCTCCCAATGACTTGATAGAAGTCTCCCTTTCTCTGTTCGAGGCTCTTCCTGCCCGTGGAAAAACAAAGCCGAGGCCTCCCCCGTTTCCCTGACTCAGACCCTACGCGGATCTAGCTCCTGAAGTCCCCTCTCACCAGAGGTGGGCGAAGAAGGTTCCTAGAAGCCAAGAGGGCCACGAGTCCCACGGACACACTCTGCGGAAGACACAAAGCCCTTGGCCGGCTGGGCTCTCTGCAGGCCCATCCCACCCCGCCAGCCGGCGCACCCGCGGCGCTCACCAGTAGCCCAGAGCCGACCGAGATGACATTGGCCGTGGTGTACTCCGGCGTGACGGCGCCGCGGGGATTAGCCACGTGCCGCAGGACGGTGCCGTGCAGCACGGCCCCCACCAGCAGGTTGACATGGCCTACCAGGATCAGCGCCAGGCCCACACGCATCAGCCGCCGGGGACCCCGGGCGGCGTCTGCAAAGCACGGGAAAGGGGGAGGGGAGGGGAAGGGAGAGGAGGAAGCCTGAGTCGGGGACAGCAGCGAACCCCCAAGCCAAGTGGGCAGCGGCCGGGTTCACAGGGAGTTTTGTGGTCGCAGGGGAACAGCACACGAGGGGCGGAAGTTACCGAAGGTCCAGAGGCGGCCGCACCTCATCCGGTCCCTCCGCGCTCGGCGCTGGCAGCAGGGCAGCTCTACCTGGGCCGTGGCCCCGCCCCGCCCCGTCACCACCTGAGGCCCCACCTCGGCTCCGCGCCCGCTCCCCCTAGCGGGGACGGCGCAAACATACAGGACGCTTGTAGCAAAAAGTAGACTTTTATTACAGCAGCAACTGAGGCGAATCGAATGGCCCCCCAGGGCCACCACTGCAGCACCACCTTTCTCTCCCGCCCCGTCCGCCCCAGCGGGATTGTAGAATTCAGCTCCCCCAGTGCCCGTGGGCCTCCTTTCCACACAGGCTGGGCGGAGCCGGAGGATCAGCTACTAGCCCCCAACTAGAAGGCGGCTGCTGAGAGGCCCAGGCCCACGTCTGTGCAAAACAAGTAAACAAAGTGCAGAGGGGAGGAAGGGCAGGGGTGAGGAGGGAGAGGGGATGCTCTGAACCAGGGAGCCATGCCCCTAAACCCTCCCGGAGAGGAGAGAAGGGGCTTCACAGGGTAATACTGACTGGGGGGACGGGACAGGAGGGCTGCAGCAAGTCCAGGGGCAGCCACAGCCCAGATCAGGGGCCTGGCCAAGTGAGCTCTAAGAGGAGACGGTGACAGCGGCTGAGTTGAGGGTACTGTTCCTGGCAAAATTGAACTTGTTCAGGGTCTCCTCCAGCAGAGAAGTCAGCCTGCTCTGGTCAGCCTGGCAAAGAAAAGCTCAGTGAGACCCCGGGAGAAGAGAAGGCTGGCAAGCAGCCAGGGCACAAGAAGGCAGAAACCTCACCTCACTAATGAAGCCCAGCTGCACCAGTTCCGCGGCCAACTCAGGGATGTTCTCATCTGACAGAGAAATGGCGGGGTGAGAGCAATATGGGCACCAGGTGCAAAACTCAAATCTACCCACCAATTTTAGAGACTAAGATGGTCATTCTAGGTGAATTACTGTGTTGTCAATGCCTTGTCACCTTGCCCGCCCTGCATATGTCCCTCAAAGATAAGGCTCTTAGACTCTCCGTCCTCTGAGGGAAAGGAGAGACTCACTTGGCATCAGGTCACAGCTCAGGTGCCGGTTCAGTTTGTCCTCCAGCTTCAGCAGAAGCGTCAGCTGGAGAATAGGAGAGTCAGAAGCAGCAGCTCCTCTTCCCCACCCTCTGGCCACCCAGCCCTGAGAGTCCTGGCCCCGAGCTTACATGGTGTTTGACCCCTTCCTCCACTGACTCGATGTTGCACTGCATCAACACCACCTAGGGGAGAGGACAGAGGACCGCTAGAGGAGAGGCCAGTCTGTAAAACATCTAGCACCTGCAAGCCTTTGCAGCCCACAGGACATGGTTGCCAGGAAGCAAAGGCAAAGCCTCTTTCACTGCCACCAAGACCACAGAGACACCCC